TCTCTGGTTCCAGCTCCTGCTAACCTAGCAGTTTGAAAGCAAGAAATTGCATGGAGATAAATAGGTACCACTTCAGTGGGAAGGTAACAGCGTTCTGTGCACCTCAGCATTTAATCATGCCGGCCACATGACCATGGAAACGTCTTCAGACAGCGCTGGCTCTTCGGCTTGGAAACTGAGATGAGCACCGCCCCCTAGGGTAGGATTCAACCAGCTTTTGAGCAAGGGAAACCTTTACCTTTTACTATAATGCATAACATTATAGTAAAGTGAAGAAACAGGAAAGACACCAACTTCTTCATTATTTATATTCCTTCCAGAAGGATCCCAAACAAAGCAATTTAAAAAAACACCAAACTTTATAACAACCATAAAATCACTATAAAAGGGGTAAAACAACCATATAAAAACCAGGCCCCTATTTCACTCTCCTCCTGGCACAGGAGAGCTCATAAATAACTTTCGGCTTTGCAGAGCATCATAAAAGCGAGCATTTCCTCATGGGGGGCAAGGAGGAACTTGGGTTCCAATATGTCATCCCCTCTCAGAAGCACCAAGGGACCAGAAGTTATACTTTAATATTATGTTTGTAATTAATTTCAACTTATGCAACTATTGAAAATCATTATGTCATTCTCCAAACGATAAAAGGCAGCTTGTTCCAATACTGTAAACTAAGTAAGTCCTAGTAGAGAAGCTTGGTAGAAAGATTTACTTAAATTAATTGATCTTATACATGGCTGTCTTTTGTTAGCAGTCAGATTCTGTGACAACACCCAGCACAGGCCTGCTACTAGGGCTGCTAAGCTTCAGGGGGCACCTGGAGATCTCTTACTGTTACAGTGGCTGTGCAGACAATTGAGACCAGTCCCCTTGGAGAAAGTGGCTGCTTTCAAGGGTGGGCTCTGTGGCATTAAACCCTGTCGAGGTTTTCCCCCTCCTTAAACCTTACCCCACCCTTCCTGGGTTCCACCCCCAAAAGCTCCAGGTATTCCCCAGCACAGAGCTGGCAACCCTAAATGTTACAAATCCACAAAAATCACCAGCAAAAGGAAACCATGACGTACTTGTTCTTAAGAATAATCCAACTTTATTCTATTCAATTCATGCGGGTAGCCGTATTGGTCTGTAGCAACTGAACACAACTTGAGTCCAGTGGCACCTTTTAAGACCAACAAAGTTTAATTCTAGGTATGTTTTTTGTGTGCACGGACACTGAAGATTCAGGTGGGGTAGCCATGTTGGTCTGAAGCAACAGAACAAAGTTTGAGTCCAGTGGCACCTTTAAGACAAAGTTTAATTCTGGGTATTAAAGCAGGGGTCATTTTCTGCAGGAGTGCACAGGAGCGGAGCTCCGGCAGTAAAGAGCCCAGGGGGCGGGCACATGCAACAAGCCCCCCCCTGCTCCCAGAGGCCCTCAGTCAGAACAAGAAGCAGCCAGGTAAGTTGCAGAGCTCCCCCGGTCCAAAACAGTCCAGTGGCACCTTTAAGACCAAGTTTTATTCAGGTACAAGCTCTCCCTCCTCTGCGAGGACAGATCTGCACGTCTCCCCCCCCCCAATAGCTAGGAATCCAAAACAGTCCAGTGGAGCCTGACCAGTGGGTGTTGCCTTCTGACACACTTCCGGTGATGTCGGGGGTGTGGCATATGCAAATAAGTTATGCTAATGAGTTATACTAATGAGCTTCTGCACCTCTTTTTCTACTACATGACCCCTGGGTATAAGTTTTCGCATGCACGCACATCTCTCAGATATCGAACAATGTTTAAGATGGATTCTGGTGGGTAGCCATGTTGATCTGAATAAGTTTATACAAAAGGAAAGCTTATACCCAGGATTTAGGGTTGCCAACATCCTGGGGGTGGCTGGAGATCTCCTACTATTAGAACTGATCTCCAGGTGACAGAGTTAAGTTCCCCTGGAGAAAATGGCTGCTTTGGAAGGTGGACTGTATGGCATTGTACCCATTGAAGTCCCTCCCCTCCCCAAATCATGCCCTCCTCAGGATCCACCTCCAAAACCTCCAGGTATTTCCCAACCCAGATCTGGCAACCCTACCAGAATTAAACTTTGTTGGTCTTAAAGGTGCCAGTGGACTTGGACTCTGTTTTATTGGAATAGGGTTAAACTTCTATACAAAACCTTAAGGAAATTCCCCAATCCCAACACTACTTATACAGCATAAAGCAAAGTGTGAGTCCAGGGGCGCCTTTAAGACCAACAAAGTTTTATGCAGGGCATAAGCTTTCCCGTGCACGCACACTTCTTCACTGCTGAAGACTCTAGCTCAGGGGTGTCGAACTCATTTTTATGAGGGCCGGATCTGATATTATTTATTTATTTCAATTTATACCCCACCCTTCCTATGAGCGGGCTCAGGGCGGCTGACAATGGTGGCACAATTGCCGATAAAACCATATAAAACATATGAACCAACACTATACAGATAAAATCATAAGGTGCTATTAGTTATACAGCTCATTACTTGCGGTGGCGTACTAAAGATGTCTACAACTGCTGAGTTCGGGCTCAGCGTTGTCCCAAGTCTCTCGATGGAATGAGCCAGATGTTAAAGCGGGGGGCTGGGCTCGTTGATGGTAATAGTGGGGGCGGCTCCTAGTCGAAGGCCTGGTGGAAGGTTCTGTAATCCCTAGCATCGCCTTTTTGGCTGGTCAAAAGGGACCCCTCTTCCGCTGGCCCTCCATGTGGGACAGTGAAAAAGCTAGCTGGATCCCACCCCGTGATTACAAGAGACAGAAGAGTATTGTCAAGTATAATGGTTCTGACATGTACCTCAGCTAAAATTGCCAACTGCCTAGAGAGATTATGTCCTGTCCTTTTAATAAAGGCTTAACGAGATGTCATTTAGCAGGTGATGTTATATACTTCCATGCCTGTGAGATTGAGATGCTTCAGCTGTCCATTCTCACACATTCAGCTTCTGTAAAAAGCACAGGATAGTCCTGTTAGCCACCCTAACGACAGTTCGGTGTAGTGGTTAGGAGCATGGACTCTCATCTGGGAAAACTGGGTTTGATTCCCCACTTCTCCACATGCAGCTGCTAGCGTGACCTTGGGTCAGTCACAAGTTGTTTCAGAGCTGTTCTCTCATGAGCTGTTCTCAGAAGAGTTCTCTCACAGGGTGTCTGTTGTGGGGAGGGGAAGGAAAAGGGATTGCAAGCCACTCTGAGACTCCTTTGGGTAGTGAAGGGTGGGGTATAAATCCAATCTCTTCTTCTATTGTGTCCCCCCCATCACAACTGAGTGCTTATTTTCCTTCCTGCTTTATGGCACAATGATATCACTATCCAAAGCTCCTTCATTTGAGAACTGGTCAGGAGTCATGGGCTGTGGATTGCACCTTATATATTTTGGACCACATCGTAGCGTCCTCCTTCAAGCAGAACTTCACCTCAGTTGCAATGACCTCGGCCTGTGTGGTAGAATCACATGGTCAAATGTATTCTTCAAATAGCTGGTGAGGGACTGCATAGTTGAGTGCTCTCATATCCTCACGGCACCCAGAAAAATAACAGCCATGTTCTCAAGTTACAGTGAACACACATACAATCCATGTACAGTGAACACTTGGTTGTTCTTTGTGCATTGAGTAATTTGCATGTTACAGTCAAAGAAAGTACAACTGAATTCCCAGGACTCTGCATAGTTGGGTATCCAATCCAATCAGCCTTTACTGGCATATAAGAATTAAGATGAACAAGATACAAAAGGAATAAAAAAATTAAATGAGACCTTGTTGGGCCAGGCCATGTGTGTCATAAAATGTAATGCCAGATAGCAGAGATATAAACTTTATAAAGGACACAAAACACAAAAGGTTTTTTTTACTCAAAATAAAAACATGCTTCAAACATCAGCAATATTTTGTTTATTTAACAGTGTCTGATAATTGACACTTCTTCTGAATTATTGCATCAAAGTGTCTGTGCTGTTGCAGTCTTGAGTATGCTGTTCAGGTGTGTATCTGTAAGCTGCAAACCTACAATGACACAACAGCAGCAGCAGGACTGGAAGCAGCAGCAGAAGATGGCCAGTTCCACTGCGGGCCTGATAGAAGCCCACTGGGGGCTGCCTAATCCGGCCCCTAGGCCGCATGTTTGACACCCCTGATTCTAGCTATTCTACCTGCAGGGAACAAAGCTCGAGTGCAGAGGCACCTCTAAGACCAACAGAGTTTTATTCAATTTTTAAGCTTTCCTGTGCACGCACACTTCTTCACCTCTGAAGAATCTAGCTATTCTACTTGCAAAGAATAAAGCTCGAGTCCAGGGGCACCTTTAAGACCAACGAAGTTTTATCCAAGATATAAGCTGTCGCGTGCACGCACACTTCTTCAGATACACCGGGAGAGGCGAGGAGGAGGAGCCGCAAACCAGCACACAGCCGACTCCCAACGCCGCCCGGCCCAGAGCCCCGCCCTCCCTGATGACATCATCACGCTGAGGTCGGGAAAGGCGGGACTTTCGGCCTTTCGGAGTCAGAAAGGAAGTGGGGGGAGGCAACAACAGGGGGCGAGCCTTGAGCGGAAGCGGAAGAAGCTGGACAGGAGCCGAGGGCGGAAGTGGCGCTGTCTGAGATTTGGAGTCGGGGGGTAGAACGGGCGGGAGCAGCGGCCCCGCAGGCGGGAGCGGGTAAGTGGCGAGGCGGCCGCGGGGGTGGAGGGGGATCGAGCCTCGGCCCACGCCCAATAAAAGGAGGCGGCCGGGCCCTGCCTAGGAAAAGGGGGCTTCGGGGCTCTTGCCATCCCGCCTACCCCTGCAGTTGGGCGCCGAGGGGGGAAGAGGGGGCCGCGTCTCCTCTGGCAACCCAAATGGATCTTCCAGGCTCAGGCGCAGTCTACCTCTGGGAGCCGGGGGCTGAGAGCGTGCCGCAGAGGAGGGGGTGGCCTCCCTGCCTTGCTTGGTAGCCTCTTCGCAACACTTGCCTCGTCCAGGGAGGGAAATGGGGCGTGGGACTACGTAGGCCTTTGGGCTGGTCGCCCAGTGCTGCTTTCATGGTTTGGAGATCGTGGTCTGGTGATGTGCAAAGGTGGTAATTGCTGACTGGGGGGGGGGGGCACTGTTACCGTGTGAATGAACAGGGTGGTAGTAGTGGTACCCGAAAGAGGAGTAAGGTTTTATTCTGACATGAGCTTTTGTGAGCCGGAGCCCATTTCTGTGTGCATCAGGTGGCGATTTAGCAGACGCTTGTACATGAGATTGTGCAGAAAGTCAGGCATGCGCTTGGCCAAGTTTACCCTAAGCTGGGGAAGTTCATGCTGCAATCGGATGTTACGCTCCTGTAGGGCTTTTTTCCTGGGGGAATGCGCTGGAACAGAGTTCCAGAACCTCTTTGGCAAAATTCTGTTAAGAATGTTTAAAAGTTAATGAGTTTTCAGTATATAGATTGAAATCTTCATTTCCCTCTTGGAATTCTGGCACCTCTTCTTCTTCTTTTTTTAAGAAGCCTCATATATAAATGTCTGCAGAATGAGGGCTCACCATGTGCATCTGAAGAAGTGGACTTTTGTCCACCAAAGCTGGTGCTTGAACAGAACCTTATTAGTTTAGTCTGGAGAAGGTCACTGCCCACTAACATTCTGAAGGGGTGTTGTGAAGAGAAGAGCAAATTAGTTCTTTCTTGATCTAAAAGGAAGATCTTGGTTAAGTACTAGGTGCGGTACGGCCCTGGAGCAGGCTGCTATTTGAGTTGTTGAGCTCTCCTTTACTGGATCTCTTTAAACAGAAGTTTGGGTAGCTGTCTGTCAAGACTGCTGTAGTCGTACAGCCCTCGCCTCCCCCGCTTGATGTAGGATGGCCCTAGATGACCTCCGGAGTTCATGAGGTGTCACAAGACTCCTGTTTGTTGGCGGGTTTGTTTTTGCTACCGCAGACTAACATGACTACCCCCTGGAACTGTTACAAGTGGTGCCGTTATGGAACACCCCAGGCCAAACAAACAAACCCCAGTTCCCTGCCCTGAAGAGTTTGCAGCCTAAATTTTAAACCGTAATGGCGGGATGGATGACTGGAGGTGAATGTTCACAGACAGGTGTGTGTTCTTCCGACTGGGGGGATTTTCCTGTAGGTGAGCAAGGGAGGTGGAGGTTGTAGGTGTCTGCTGTCTCCTTCACTGTGGGTGCTGCTTTCATTCCCTCCTCCTAGTGTTCTTGTGCTCTGAGAAGCTGTCTTCAGCAGAAATTCAACCGGTTCTGCTTTTGCTGGCATGGAGAGTCCTCACGGGTAGGCTGCTGTATTTTAGCGTAGAGGATCTAAAAAGCTACAAGGCACTGAGGTGATGCCATTGCTCAGGTGTTAATAACAGTCTCTAGAAGAGCTCCTTTTAAAAGCTTGTTTAGGAAAGTGTATCCCTAACCCTGTGAAGATATGTTTGTTTTAGCCTTCCCTCCTCCCAGCTTGGTGGTTTTCTTTTTCTCCTGTGTAAGTGGTAACTTTCCACAGGAATATTTTTATTAGTTTATTTGACTTCATTTATAACCCCATCTTTCTCCCCAATGGGGAGCTGGGCCCAAAGAGGCTTATATCATTCTCATCTCCTCTGTTTTATTCTTACAACAAATCCTGTAGGCCACACGGAGAGTCTGTGACGGACCCAAGGTCACCCAGTGAGCTTTCATGGCAGAGTGGGGATTGGAACCTGGGTTTCCCGGGTCCTAACCTGATGCTCACACCACACTGGTGTGATGCTGTCCTTGGTGAAATCTTTTTTTGCTGGCTAAAGGCAAAACTTTTCTTTATGAGTGGTCTGACCATTTCAACAAGGATCCCGTGGACAGGTGCATATACATACAGTGTGGGGTGCTTCAGCCTCGTGGGGTCGCTGTGACAGACAGACTGATCCTGTACCAGTTCTTAAATAAAAGTAATTTTCTGAAACATGCAATCACTTGTCCTTGGATAGAAAAGCTTCAAGAACAGTACTGGGACTGGCTAAATACAGAAGCCGAGTTAAATACCAAACTGCTTTTCCTTTGTGCATATTGGACCTTAGTGCACTCCGGAAGAATTTTGCATAGTTGTAAAGTCTGTATGGTTTTCTTTCCGATCTGTGTCTGGGTGGAGGAATTAACCTGGTTTTTCTTAGGCCAGACGGCTGTGCTGGAAGCATTGGTGAAGGTTTACAAAGAAGGCTGCTGTTGCTGGTAACTGTTTCAGTTTCGGATTTGTTGCTGGGTCAGACGTTAGCCTGTAGAATATCATCTATCAACAAACCCAAGCATGCAAATAATTAACGCTATCATGGCAATGATGCAGGTTTAATAAGAAGATAAGAGAAGCCTGCTGAGTCCTCGTGTAACACTTCCATAGAGCGGTCACTTAAACACGCACCAGCTTTTAAAAAATCCCTTCCCGGTTTTTAGTGGCTGAACTCACAAGTGCAGCAAATCTCTCACTCATTTTCCCAGAGAGATCAGGTACTGAAAAGATGTTTTTTAATTGGAAGGGTAATGATTAATGTAAGCTCATTTCTGAGCTTAGTTTGTGAAAGCGAATGATGTGTTTAAAGGCCAACTGCGGTCTGGTATAGCACTTTTAAAGGTGCTTAAATACAAGCCGGTAATCCTCAACACAAACCCTGTGAGGTAGGCCAGGATTATTGTCATTGCCATAGCTTGTTCTGTCCAAGATGGCGACGGAGGCAAGATTCAGGCTGCAGATTCTTTGGGCCCATCTTCAGCTCTTGGCCCGTCTTGGAAGGAAAATTCAGACCGGATTCTTTGATCCATTGCTCTTGGCCCCTCCTGGCTATCAGCCTGGCTGGTGTTCTGAAAACTTGGTTTGGGGCTACTGAGGATGTCTTTGCTCCGTTAACACAAAATGCGGATAAAACCAGAAAGCAAAATTCTTGTGCTTCCATAACTTGCAAGTTGTTCTGACAGTCTTCTTATTTGCTCTTGTAATGGCCATAAGAATGTAAGGGAAGCCATGTTGGATCAGGCCAATGGCCTATCCAGTCCAACACTCAGTGTCACACAGTGGCCAGAACCCAGGTGTTGTCCAGGAGGTCCACCAGTGGGGTCAGAACTCCAGAAGCCCTCTCAAGCACCAAGAATACAGAGCATCAGTGCCCCAGACATAGTGTTCCATGTATAACTTGTGGCTAACAGCCACTGATGGACCTCTGCTCCATATGTTCATCCAATCCCCTCCTGAAGCTCGAGTTTGGATAAACATATGAGGCGGAGGTCCAGTGGGTTAAGCTAATGTTCCGCTTAAATGTTGGGAGCAACTTCCCCAGGATGGTGCGCAGAGCTGGTGCTACAAGCAGACACGTCCCTCATCAAAACGGACTCTTGTGTTGCTGAAACTTCTCTTTTCCCTTTTAGTTTGAGACCTGTTTTCCTCCCCGGCAGTCCTATCTCTGCCCCTGCGGTCAGCATACCTGCCCTTGTGACGGGCCATGGCGGGCCGTGGTGGAACTGCGCGGTCAAATGGGCCAGCTGCCGGAAACAAGATCTGTCAGTTCAAGCTGGTTCTGCTGGGAGAGTCGGCCGTTGGGAAATCCAGCCTTGTCTTACGGTTCGTGAAAGGCCAGTTCCATGAGTACCAGGAGAGTACAATTGGAGGTGAGGCTGGGGCTCAGTGGCAGAGCATGGGCTTTGCGTGCAGAAGGTTCCAGGTACAATCCCTGGCAGTTACAAAGGTCCAGGTAGTAGGTGATGTGAAAGAGCTCTACCTGAGAACCTGAAAAGCCGCTGCCAGTCAAAGTAGACAGTGTTGACCTTGACAGATCGAGGGTCCCAATCTGCAAAGAGTAGCTTCATGTATTTAGTGTCTTGGGTGTGTGCCAAGGGTTTGTATCTCTCGGTAATGTGTAGATATGCTGCCTCACAGGTCTTACCAATCGCCATCATCCAGCCTTAGCTATATTTACTGCTCAGTTACTTACGCATCTTGACTCTAATTGGCAACATCTTCCTCACCTGCGGTTGGTGGCTGTTTCAATGTATCTGAAGAAGTGTACATGAAAGCTTATACCCAGAATAAAACTTTATTGGTCTTAAAAAGGTGGCACTGGACTCAAACTTTGTTCAATGGTCAACCAGTTCCTGCGGAGGGCCAGCAACAGGGCATAGAAGCTGAGACCTTCCCCTGATGTTGCCTCCTGACTCTGGGATTCAGAGGTTTAGTGCCTCCGAATGTGGAGGTTCCCTTCAGTCATCATGACTAGAAGCCACTGACGGACCAGCTAGTAGCCACTGATAGACCTATTTTCCACGAATCTATCTAATCTCCTTTTAAGCGTGTTTATCCCTGTGGCCATCACAGCATCCTCTGGCAGCAAATGCCATATTTTGTGTATTCTGTGTACCTATTGAGGAACACCTATTTGTTGCAGAGGATTCTGGGGAATGTTTAGAGCATATAGTTGGTTTGTTTAAGGCACTGGCTGGGCCTATGAATCCTCAGTGTTGTCCCATGTAAACGTAGTGTCATTCAGGGGAACTTATCCATAGTTAATTCAAAAGCCTTTCCCGACCAAGAATTTTTTCCATACAGAGGAAGCTTAACTAAATAAATTACCTGTCAGAGGGCTAAAGTTGTTTGTAAAAATTTCTAGGCTTAATTTGTTCCTTCTAGACCAGAAATGTCAAACACGTGGTCTGGGGACCTGATTAGGCCTCCCGGAGGGCTTCTATCAGGCCCGCAGTGGAACTGGCTGTCTTTTGCTTCTTCTTCCAGTTCTGCTGCTGCTGCTGCTGCATCATTATAGGTTTGCAGCTTACAGATACACACCTGAACAGCATACTCAAGTTTGCAACGGCACAGACATTTTGATGCAATAATTCAGAACAAGAGGTGTCAGTTACCAGACACTGTTAAATAAACAAAATATTGCAAGAGTGCTGATGTTTTAAGCATGTTTTTATTTTAAGTAAAAAAAAACCTTTTGTGTTTTGTGTCCTTTATAAACTTTATATCTCCACTACCTGGCATTACATTTTATGACACATGGCCCGGCCCAACAAGGTCTCATTTATGTCAGATCCGGCCCTCATAACAAATGAGTTCGACACTCCTGTTCTAAACTCTTCTAAGAATATAAGATGAGCCCTGCTGGATATGACCAGCGGTCCATCTAGTCCAGTATCCTGTCTCGACAGTGGCCAACCAGTTCCTCTGGAGGGCCAAAAAGAGGGCACAGAGGCCGAGGCCTTCCCCTGATAAGAACGTCAGAAGAGCCCTGCTGGATCAGACCAGGGGTCCATCTAGGCCAGCATCCTGTCTCACACAGTGGCCCAGCAGTCCCTCTGGAGGGCCAGCAACAGGGCATAGAGGCTGAGGCCTTCCCTGATAAGAACATAAGAAGAGCCCTGCTGGATCAGACCAGGGGTCCATCTAGGCCAGCATCCTGTCTCACACAGTGGCCCAGCAGTCCCTCTGGAGGGCCAGCAACAGGGCATAGAGGCTGAGGCCTTCCCTGATAAGAACATAAGAAGAGCCCTGCTGGATCAGACCAGGGGTCCATCTAGGCCAGCATCCTGTCTCACACAGTGGCCCAGCAGTCCCTCTGGAGGGCCAGCAACAGGGCATAGAGGCTGAGGCCTTCCCTGATAAGAACATAAGAAGAGCCCTGCTGGATCAGACCAGGGGTCCATCTAGGCCAGCATCCTGTCTCACACAGTGGCCCAGCAGTCCCTCTGGAGGGCCAGCAACAGGGCATAGAGACCAAGGCCTTTCTCTGATGTTGCCACCTCTAAATTCTGTGGTTCTCTTCAGTCACCATGTCTAGTAGTTATTGATGGACCTCTCCTCCATACGTTTGCCTGACCCCCTTTTTAATCAATCTATGCTTGTGGCCATCATTACATCTACTGGTAGTGAATTTCAGTTTAATTACTCTTTGAATTTTGGAAACTTCACTGAGTGCCCACAGAGTGCAAGTATTATATGAAAGGGAGAAAAAAATTCTATCCCCTTTCTATCACAGACGTAATGTCCCCCTTACCCTCATTTTTTGTAAATTTAAAAGTCCCAGGCTCCAGCCTTTCTTCATAGGAAAGTGTGCCACCTCCTTAATTACTTTGGTTGCCCTCTTTTGCCCTGTTTCCAGCCCTGCAATTTCCTCCTTGAGATGAAGTGACCAGAGCTGCACAGAGTACTCCAAATGAAGCCTTGCCATCAGGGCTTTTTTTTTGTAGAAAAAGCCCAGCAGGAACTCATTAGCATAATAGGCCACATCCACCAGCAGAAACTCATTAGCATATTAGGCAACACCCCTGACAGCACATCTAATTTGCATATTAGGCCACACCCCATGCCTTCCCTCGGCTTGCCTGAGCACCCCGTTTGGGATACTGTGTACAGTTCTGGTCACCGTATCACCAAAAGGACATTGCAGAGCTGGGGAAAGTACAGAGGAGGGGGACAAAGATGATTAGGGGCTTGGAGCATCTTCCCTATGAGGAAAAGCTGGGACTTTTCAGTTTAGAAAAGAGGCGACTAAGGCAGGGCACGATAGAGGTTTATAAAATTATGCATGTGGTGGAGAGAGTTAAAGAGAACTTTTTTCCCCTTTCTCAGAATACTAGAACCCGAGGTCATCCAATGAAACTGATGGGCAGTAGGTTCAGGACAGACAAAAGGAAATACTACTCTACTACTTTACAGAGCTTAAAATGTAGAATTCACTGCCAGAGGATGTAGTGATGGCCGCAGGAATGAACTGCTTTAAAAGAAAATTAGATAGATTCATGGAGGATAAATCTGTCAATGACTACTAGCCAGGATGGCTGAGGGGAACCTCCACAGCCAAAGGCACTAATTCTCTGAATCCCAGAGCCAGGAGGCAACATCAGGGGAGGCCTTGGCCTCTATGCCCTGTTGTTGGCTGTCCAGAAGGTTGGCCACTGTGGGAGATAGGAGGCTGGTCTAGATGGATGATTGGTCTGATCCAGTAGGGCTCTTCTTAATTTCTCTCTGTGACTTCGGTCTTCTGCCTTGGCCAATAAGGTGCTGATGGGCTCTGGGCTCTAGGCCCTAGCAACTCTTGCTTCGTCACTTGCAGTGTTTCCCCATCAAGTGCTGGGCTTGGGCAGTTCCTGGCGCGCACCCCATCAGAGTAAGAATTTCTGTCTTGGCTCTGAGTCGCTGGCATC